CTCAGAGCCCAGCCAAGGAAAAGCTGGTCCAGGGTACAGAGGCTCAGGTTGTTTTCTACTGGAGAAGGCCTAGGAGGACAGGGCCTGCTTGGTTCCATTGCCCTTTACATGTGCGTACGCGCACACAGCCTCCCCACGACTCACGTCCAGCCTCAGGGCGTCCGCTGGGAAGGGTGGTTCTCACCCCAGCCACCCGTGAGCCTGCATCGCAGCTGCCCCCATGCAGACTGGAGTGGGAGGCACTGATGCCTCTGAGCAGCTGCCCGCAGTGTGGGAAGTAGGCTTTGTGACGGCAGCGCGGTCAAGAGCGAAGCTGAGGGCCAGGCACCAGCCCCAACCTGCTTGGGGCCTCCGTTGCCTTATTTGCTCTTTGGAGGTTACAGTAAATGACCTTCAAGTTCCTTTCTAGCTCTGAGATTCTTTGAACTCTAGGTTTCTTCCTTTCCAAGTTATGGAAATTATTTTCCCTACTTTTCCTGAGAGGGGAAGTAGAAGACACCAGTCTGTCTCTGACAGCTGCCAAAGTGGCTGTTTTTTAATGGAAAGTCAGCTGCCTTCTCAGGTTGCCTAACATAGCAGAAGCTTCTGGAAAACAGAGAAGCCCAATGTTTCCCTCTAGTTTTTTTGACGTCATTTGCCTGTGGGTGGGTTCCCGTCTGCCACCGCCTCTCCAACCACACTAAATTTTATTGCACAGATTTAAAAAACACACCTTGGTGTGGCAGGCCACCTAAAGAAGCCGTGTAACCCAGGAGGCCTGCTGCTAAGCCACGGCGGAGAGAGCTTTGTTCCAGCCGCTGACGCTGACCGTGCCAGGATCCTGTCGCGCAGAGTAAATTTGCCGTCCTCCCCCTCTCCAGGCCCCTTGCCAATAAAAGTGGAATGTTCACTTTGCGCTATCTCTTGGGGGATTTGAAGAATCAATTCTAAACACTGAGTTGAAAGCACTTATCAATCTAAGAGAGAGCGGGCAGGGGGCAGGGAGCTGACGTTTGTGGCGTGTTTACTGCACACCAGGTACTGAAGGTGGGTGCCTGGCTTTCATTCTTCCCTTTAGCACAGCTGTATAATCATCATACACAAAACTGTCAAACACTTGGTTTTTAGGCCACTGAGAACCTAAAGCTTATCAAAAAGACAGTGGCCAGGCAGTGGCCCTACACCTCCCAGGAAACCAAGTGTTTGGCGGGGGCATACTCAACGCCATCCACAAAACGCTTCAGAATCTAATTGCATGCATTTGCAGTGCACACATATGAGGCCTTGGAAATACATTTGTTAACACAAGTATCTTGGCCTTTTGGTGCTTCTCAAATATTCCGCTGGCTGATTGCAAATCTAGCCGCTGATATTTAGATTAACAGGCATGTTCATCTTATTCCAGTATTTTCCATCCTATGTTAAAAATACTTTTGCCACCTCTCCTAGCACTTTTTTTTTTTTTTAGGTGATTAGTCTTAAAATGAATAAGTGGTAAATTCAGGAGAACTGAGCCCTGTTGCCAAAATAAGCAGCGTTCTCCATGACATTACGGAATAAAAACACTTCCTGGTCTTGGTCTCACCCTGTTCTGAGGCCTCCATTGCCCCCACGACGGGCACAGCATTCACAGCACAGCGCATGTGTGGAGACCGCGCCACACAAGAGCTGTGACTCAGGTCCGTTCTCAGAAGAACTGAGGTCATGGCTATTAATATTCTGTTTCATACATGATGGTGTTTACTGCAGCAAACATGTGGTAGTCAAGGTTACGCACGTGGACGTGCCAGCATAACCCACTTTTTCTTTATGCCAGGCGTTTCTACCCCCGCCCCCACCCCACCCCCTCGTCGCGTTCAGCCCAAAGGTGGATATTGCCAGAGCCTTAAAAAGAACGAACCAGTGAGAAAATTTGCAAACAATTAGATGAACTGTGATAAGTGGCGCAGACTGCGGATGAAGGGCACCTCTTACAGTTAGGAAATAGCATGAAGTGTTCTAGTTTTGTTTGTTGTTATTTCCCTCCCACTGGAAGCCAATGAACAACAGCAACAGCCCCATGTGGTGGAAACAAGAGGGCCAAGTCTTAGCCAGGCAGACGTCCTCTACAACGTCTGTCTCAGAAGCCCCCGTGGAAGTGGCGACGGGGTTGGGCACAGGACTGACTTCTGTCCTAAGTCACCATGAGCACCCAGCTTCTGGTTGCGGGCAGGGGCCTCCACAGGCTCTGACGTGACTGGGGTGCTGTGAAACAGGCTTGAGAAAGGGGCTGGCGGGCTTGGAGCTAACAGGTTCAGCTGAGGTACATGGGCGGCTCCATGTGTGCCTCATGAGGGTCTTTATTTTCTCCTAGGAGACTGGAGAGGGCTTCCAAGATGCCTCCCAGATGAGTGTTCAGGGTTTCCGGAACCAGACCTACACCTTCCCCAACTCCAGTGCCAGCTCATCTCTCCGCCCCAGGCCATCTCCCATGTTTCACTGTGAACCAGATCTGAGTAGGCCGTGGAATCCCCATGTCACTTTTCCAAGTGCACTGTTCCTCCCCTGGACTAGATTCCTTTTTCCTTTTTTTTTTTTTTTTAAAGATTTATTTTATTTATTCGAAAGGCAGAGCTGGGCAAGGCCGAAACCATGAACCAGGAGCTTCTTATGGGTCTCCCATGTGGGTGCAGGGGCCCAAGGACTTGGGCCACCCTCCAAAGCTTTCCTAGGCCATTAGCAGAGAGCTGGATTGGAAGCAGAGCAGCCGGGATGTGAACCTGTGCCCATGTGAGATGGTGGCACTGCAGACAGTAGTTTAACCTGCTACACCACAATGCCAGCCCCTGGACTGATTTTCTTCTTGACAGTATAAAGGGACTTCAAATCATGGAAACATGGAATTAAAAGGTGTTTGGGTGCAATTTTATGACTTTCAAAATATTTTGCACCAGAATAATCTTTTAATTCCATTTCCCATGAATGTCTTGAAGTGCCCTGGTATTCCGCACACTCTGACCTTTCCTCCCCACCATTAGGCCCCCAGCCCGCTAAGCGCATAGGGCAGTGTCCTCTGTGTGTGCAGAGTGGCTCTGAAACAGTGCACAGCCTCGGACCTCCCCGTGCGGGAGGGACAGTCACGCCACCCAGCTGTGCTCCTCGCTTCTTGGTCCCCTGTCCTGTGGCTTGCAAGACCTCAGGTGGCCTTGCAGCATGCAGGACAACAACTGCAGGGCTTCATGTTGAATCAGCAAAGGCCAGAGAGGGCACGGCCTAGGGTCAGGCTCTTTCCCTGGACAGCAAAGCATCATTTGCTTGGGAGCGGTCATCTCTTTTCACACCGTGAGGTGCATTAGCATGGCCACTTCTCTGCTGTTGCGGCAGTGTGAGCATTTCATTAGGTCTGTGGCAGCTCCCAGTATTTCTGCAGAGTCTGGATTTTGAGGGAGGGGCAGGCTCTTAGGATGAGCCAGAGGGAACTGCCCACCACTGGAGGTCGAGGACGGTTCTATAACAGCAGTTTTATGTGGTTCAACATAAAGGTTGGAAAATGGAGGGTCAAGGCCTTGTCATGACTGTTTGCCTAATGAGCAGGCTTTTTTTTTTTTTTTTTTTTTGGCCTGTGAATTATGGGATACATCAGTTCTCTAACAGAAAAAAAAAAGGATTACAGAAGATACTATTATTACTGCTGCTACTTTTGCTATTCTTATGTCTTCTACTACTTGCAGTCACTTCAGAAATGATTGGTAGAGGTCGGGAGAACGCTGACCTGCCCTGGGAGCCACCACTGCGCTGGCCCTGGCCCCTGTACCTCCTCCTTTGGAAATGAGTTCTCTAAAGCGATCCCTCCCCGCCCTTATCCTCACCTTCTCTATTTAGGAACATGGCGTGCCTGGCCAATGTGGTTGGTTTCACAGATAAAGGGGTAATAGGTGCTGGGTGGCCTCACACAATGAGGCTGTCACAGTTTCCTTTTAGAAATGTCATGGCCGAAAAAAAAGCCATTAGCTAATAAAAGGGGTGGGACTCGTAGCTGAGTGGCATTCACATCCATCCATGCTGTCACTGCCTCTCCCAGATTTCTCGGAGCAGCCCCTGGCTCCGTGTCGTAGCTGAGTGATGTCATTTCAGTCATAACGTGATTTTCCAGCTGGCCAGGATGGAAAAGGGGTTTATTATTGTGGCATGTTTTTCACTGTGTCTGAGAGAAAATGAAGCAGACAGGGCTGGCTATATGACAGTACCCATTCTGTTTTTACAGGTGTGTCTGCAGGATACAAGGTACCTTTTACTTGCCGTAAAAATGGAACTCTTGAGGCAAAGGCAAATGAAAGAAACTTTTCCTTAAGAGATGATATATACACACATAATTAGCATTGGGAATTAGCCTTGAGCATAGGTTAAATTCCAAGGACTAGGAGGTGGATTGACCAATCACAACACTTTTCTGTTTCTGTTGTTAGGGCTTTGAGGTCACCTTCACCTCAGTTTCTCCATGGAGAAGATGGAGACTTCCCAGGGTGTGTGTGTGTGTGTGTGTGTGTGTAATTTTTCATTGTAGTATAATCCAAGTCTCCCAAAGGGGTGGTAGGGGCCAGCATCCACTGCCTTCCCAGGTGCATTAGCAGGGAGCTGGATCAGAAGCAGAGCAGCTGGGACTCTAACTGGTGCTCTGATACGGGATTGTGGGTGTCACAGGTGGTGGCTTAACCTGCTGTACCACAGTGCCAGCCCAGGTAAGTTTATCTTGGTGCAAACTAAATGTGAAGCCCGTACACAGTATTTTCATGCTACATAGTTTCCATGAACTTTTTGAATATCATTGACAAGCCTGGATTTCAGCATTTTCTGCACTAAAATAAACCTATATTTTTAACTGCACTTTCCCACAAAGCTTTTGAAGCCTGCTTGTAAATAAGTACTACCTTTAGCCTTAATAGGTTTTTGGTCATCTGTGATGGGTAAAAAGGGACAATGAAAAGTCCAAATGCCAGGCAGCATCAATCTAGGATGTCACATGTCTTTGAGGTCCCCTTAGTTGCCCATGGCACAACCCCCATGCTTGGAATACCTCCGGTCTAGAGAGATGTAACGTATTCTAAAAGATGATGCAAGAAATGATCTAGGGTGCTTTGGCTTACCTTGTATGACCCAATTCTTGGTCCAGCCTCCACTGCAGAATCAGAAAATACTGACGGGGGTGGGGCAGCACTGTGTATCGTGGATTAAACTGCTGCCTGGGAACACCAGCATCCCATATGGTGCAGGTTTGCTCTGCTTCCAATCCAGCTCCCTGCCAATGCACCTAGGAAAGCAGTGCAAGTGGGCTGAGTGCTTGTTCCTCTGCCACCATTGTGGGAGACTCAGATGAAGCTCCTGGGTTTATCTGTTGTGGCCATTTGTGGAGTGAACCAAAAGATGGATGATTTTCTTCTCTCTCTCTCTTGCTTTCTTTCTTTCTCTGCCCCCTCTCATTAGCTTTGCCTTTCAAATAAATAAATAAGTCTTAAAACAAAGAAAGAAATGCCAAGAGTCATCGCTCCCATGCTGCCTTATAGCAAGCAGTAACTAATAGTGGAAACTGGCTATGAAACATTGCCTTCCTCGTGAGAAGGGTCAGTGTTGTTGGCACAGCACCTGCACATTTCTTGTATGTGGAACACGCAAGAGTTGCTTGGAGTTGTGGAGGTCAGTCCGCAGCCATGAGGTGGCAGGCGTGAGGACGAAAGCGGTCATGGTGAGGGTGAAGAGGGCAGACAGAAACCGCACATCTCTGTGTGAATGAGTCCCTGAGCCAACCCTGAGCCCAGCCCTGCTCCAGAGCTCTTGTGTGTGTTTTCTGTTACCTACAACTGAATTCATCCCGAGCTGACCCTGGTGCCTTTCACATCACAGCGAGGCAGCCAGTCAGGGCTGGGAGCATGGGCAGGAAGACTTGTGTGGAAGGAAAAGGAATCCCTGTGGTGCTTGCCTGCACTTTGTCCCCTGGAGAACACATCCGCCGGACAGTGGCATGCAGAGAAAGGGAGTCAGCTGTGGCTGTCTGGGAAACCTGGTGAAGAGAAAGGACACAGGGCTAGTCATTGGAAATGGAAAGGTTTGTTAAATCAGAAGGCTTTGGAGAAGCAAACTTGTTATTTGTTTATTTTTGTTCCTGGTGAGGTTTATTACCTTTTGAAGGGGTATGCTAAGTTGAATCCCTGTGACAATGACCATCTGTCGCCTACTTTCTGGGACCACCCTGGAAAATGCAAGGCGCGTGTTTCACTATCTCCATGAGCACGGTCTAGGCATGGAGTCACCACAGGAGATGAGGAAATGTGCCTATTGTTCTTAAAAACCCAATTACTTCTGAACCACCACTAGCCAAGTGACCCCTTGTCCTTAATGCCACTTGTTAATGCAGACGAATACTTTCAAAAATTAAGAGAGACATTAGCGGCCACTAAGAAGATCTCTGACCAGATAGAGATAACTGGAGCAGGCTAATCCTTTTAACAAAGGTGGTGACAGATATTGTGACTGCTGAATGCTCCCTCACAGCCAAGGGAGAACAATCGGTGAATTCATTCATTTAGTTCGTGATTTTTTTTTTCTATTTACACTTTAAACAAACGTGCCAGCTGTTTGCTCAGTTAACAAGCTCTGCCTTCATTATAATCCATTAGTGGCTAGTAATAATTGAAACTGTGTTTGGACTTCAAAAATACAATAAGCCTAATTAATTAGACCCTTAGGAAGATGGAACTTGTAGTGACCAACCTGAGCCAGGCTCAAGTTTGCGTCCTGGCCCTCTTCATGGAACAAGAGTTGGCAAAATCATGTTTTAGCCATAGCTAAGACTTACAGTAGGATTTTTCATAAAAACTAAACAAGAGGTTAAACCCAAATGCCTACAAGGGATCAGGCAGAAAATATAGATCAGGAATGGGTAGAGCATCCTCTAAGAAACACTGGATTTCTGTCTGTTTCCCATGAGGGCGTGGATATGAGAAATATCTCACGTTTGTCTTAACCCTAACAATAAGAAATAGTCACACACATGTTTACAAATGATGAGTTGATTCAGTCAGTGGTGAGGAGACAGGACGGGGGCGGGGTGGGGGACCATGGCAAACTGGAGGTCCCAGGCACCCTCTGAAATGAACACCTCCTGTTTAATTGCAGCTGCTACGTGACAGTGTAGGCTTAGTGTGGCAAAATCTTTCACATTTTCAAAACAATTGGAAAATCCAGATTTCTAGATGAACTCCAGAATGAAGAATAAATGAACTTCGACAACGAATTTTTGTTTGCGTTCCTGCCATGCAGTCCCCACTGCGTGGTTCAGTAGCTCTCGGCATGCGAGCGCAACCTCAGCATCACTTGCAGCAGCAACATCTACATCAAAATGCAGATTCTCGGGCCTCAGCCAGGCCTGCCAGATTAGATTACCTGGGGATGAGGTAGGGTTGCCAGGTGTGGCAGATACCGCAGGGCACACGCATTGAACGTGATTCCTTGTTTATTTGACGAAGTTAACTGGGGTGTCCTGGTTTTTGTTTCGCAGCGCTGCCTGCTACAGCCAGTCAAGCAGAACATGTGTGTGAGCCAGACTGTGTTGTGTTTGAACTGGCTGTGGCAGGGACTGGACTAGCCAGGGGAGTTCAGGCAAGTGATGCACTTCTCCGTGGCTGAAGTTCACTGGTATGGAGGATGGGGATAACCACGATTTCCCCCTCACAGGGTTATTGTAGCAAATGACTTAGCGAATACAGGGGCCCTGGTAGTTTGCTTAGGGGAGGGTCAGCGATGCCTGAGTGTTCAGTGTCGCCGTCGTTTCTCCCTGTCTCCCTCACCGTCATCACTGCTGCTGCCACCACCTCACTGTCAAGCAGGATTCGGACGCATCTTCCTTCCGTTCTCTTCTCCTGGATCTTACTTTGATTTCATTATAGAACCAATTCTGCTGCCCTACTGCTCCCCAAGGCAGTTCTAGTGCTTGTCCCTACCCAGAGTCCCTACCTCCTGCTTTGATATCTAGCCTGTGTTGTGGCTGTCTGTGCTTTGCTCCACACTGACTCTGCTTTCAAAACTCTGTCAGCCGGCAATGCCTCTGCTAGGTTCAGGCCTATTGCTGTTTAGCCTTTCTGCTTCACATGTGCCCTCCCCAGCCCCCACAGACATAATTCTGACCCCGTCTTGAGTCTTCCAAGTGCCCAACTAGGGCTTGGATGCTTGGCCTTGGCTATGGGAACACCCGTGCCTCCCTCGTGAATTAAATTTCCGAGAAGTATTTGGGAAATCCCCGCGACTTCTTTTTCTAGACAAGAAACATGGAATGGCTTGCTCTGTGGATCCAAAGAGTGTCTTTCAAAGGAATCCGGCAGAGCATTCTTGCTGAGGGTGGCTGCAAGCTGCCTGAGCGTGTCTCTTCATGAAGCAGATTTCCAGGCTTCCACATGGCCGTAAATGACAGACTTTTGTACAGGCAGCGAAAATCAACTACATGAGCTATGCTGGTACTCTGTTGCGCCATTTTACTGCTGTTCTGGGAATGAAGCAAAATACATTATTTTATTAAATAAAGATTTTTCCCTGTACCGCAGTGGAGCCTAATTTTATTAGCTCTTTTTATGGGAACAAACATCATCGCCCTGGTTGGGGAGGATGGGGCGGGGGGAGTAGAAGGGATGAGGGAGTGGAGAGAATCACATTTTGTCATCCGTGAGCTCCAGTGGAGGCTGCCAACGTGTTTTAATTGGTAATTACTCACTTACCAGAAGAGTTCGCCAGATCCTACAGAGAATACACAGCTTCTAGTTCACACGTAATTTCGAGAAGCTTTGAAAGACACGTTCAACTTCAATGAACGTTTGTTCATGCAGTGTGGGTGTGGGCGCGTCCCTGGTGTCCTAGGTGTGTCGTCACCAGAATATTCGGTAACATCAAGAAAACGTTATTTCTTCATCCTCATCTGGGAGAATCCAGAACCCTTGTGCAACACACGTACTTTAAGATTCGCAGAGGGAAGAGAGTGCAGACCTCGTTGGAAAACTCAGTCAGAGACCTCTTTGGCCTCTGATTGCTAAGCTCCACAACACGAAATGTCCACTTTCAGCTTTGTTGAACTTTTTAGATGAATATAACCACGCAATACCAACCTGCCCCGGGCGGGCAGGGTAGCCCAAGCTGGGTGTGGGCAGCTCTGGACGGTTGAGCATGCAGCGTGCAGGCTGAAGCCCATACAGTGCTGGACGTGGTCCCGCCGGAAGCTGGGAAGTGAGAGGTCTGCCGCCCTGCTCAGCGAACACCTAGGTGAGCCAGAGGTGGCTTCTGTGCTTTCTAGAGTCATAGGCGGCCTCCGTGTTTTCTAGAGCTGTGTTGTAGCAGGATTCTCGAACAGAGAGGTGGGACATGGAGTTCTGTTGGCAGGAAGCAGCGTGTGTGCGGGGCACAGCGGGGCCTGGCCTTTATATACCCTTTCACTTTATACTCTGCTACAATTTTAGCATTTTCCCTCCCATATATGGTAAGCTTTACATTGATTGGTAGTTTAACACTAAACGTTGCAGATGGGCAAGTAGATGCAGAAACTTCTTTGTTTCCATTGTTCTGGGAAGGCCCTCTGCCAGTGTCACTGTCATAAAGCTGGTTATCCCATTAGCAGTCATCCAAGGCCTGTACTAAACCAAACTGGGAGGCTAGCAGCAGTGTCTGGTGTCATGCCCCCTCACCCTCCTCTCCTCACAAGCCCTCGACCACCTCCCTGCTCTGCTTCAGAGCACTCCCTGTCCCCCATGAGCGCCCACAATGCGCCCTGGGAGAATTCGGGTATCATCCATGTGTGCTGAAACCGAAAGCTACTTATGCTAAGACAGTGTACAGATGAAGCCAGAGATTATAAACCTGGAATTCCTATGCTGTGGCATCAAAAATTGTTTTAACAGTTTTAAAAACCAGCAGATAGAGGACTTTCTGTCTCTCTCTCTCTGTCTCTCTCTTTCTAACTCTGCCTTTCAAAAAATAAACCTTAAAAAAAAAAAAGTGTGTCTACTTTGCCCTGTCAGCGTTGTTACCTGTGGCCCTGTCTTACTGCTTTATTTCCTCATCTTGTTAGCCTCTTCCTAAGTTGCTTTTCTGCTTCCTTTGTTCTGTTGCCTGCTTCCCCTGTTTCATCTGCGTCTCTCCTTTTGTCACCCCTGTCTCCTCTCTTCCTGCTTCTTCCTGTTACCTGCTTAGCTGCTGGCTCATCTCCTCCTGGACTTCTCGCCATGTCTCCTTCCCCCATCATGTCTTTATCTACACCCTCCATCTAATGGCCTCCCCATCTCCTTATCTAATTTCTCTCTTTATCTGCTTTCCTCCATATTTTCATCTACTTCCCTCATCTTGTTCCCTACTTCCCTTTTATGTTATCTTCTTGGCTCCCAGAGCCCTTTGAGTTTGTGGCCTGTTTTAACCCATCCCTGCCTGATAACAATATCAAACTTGAGCAAAAATAGGTGGGGGTCAGAGGCTGGGGAGAAGCAGACTAGTGTATTGCCCTTCGTGGGCTTCCTGAGTCGTAGACTAGCTACTGACCAAAGCTCCTTTATGGCTGTTTGCCTACAGCATCTTTTGTTGTAATGCGTTATAGACTGAATGCAGAGGATGGAAGTATACAGAACGAGGCACTGAGTTTGGAGAGTTAGGCTCTTCGGGGGACATCAGGAGTGGAGTGGAGATGCTCCCCCACACTCTGCTGCGTTTTCCCTTCCTTCCTTCCTTGCCTGCCTCCTGCCCGGGGAGAGGCCAAAGCTTGGCTGATCAGAAGGCTTAGTAACCTTGGGTCCACTCTGGCTGTGATGTGGATTCAGGAAACAAGGTTGCAGGACGTGCCTAGTGGCTTCACTTTAGTAGACGCTGAAGATGGAGCTCCTGGGAGAGCAGTGATCAGTGCACCTTGGCCTTGAGCTGGCGCCCAGGGACAGGAGCCTGGCAGCCACGGGTCTGAAGCAAGGCTACAGAGGCACGAATATGTGAGTTCAGATATTGGCTCCTGAAGCTCCCTGGTGGCCTGGTGGCTAGGGTCAGGTGATGCTCCCTGGTGGCCTGGTGGGTAGGGTCAGGTGTTTTCAGACACTGGCTCCATTACTTGCTAGCCGTGTGACCATGTGCTAGTCCCCTCCTCTCTCTGCCTCACCTCCTCACCTGTAAAGCAAGATAATGGATCCAGCTCTCGAGGTTGTAGAGAAAGTACAATGACGTATGTAGAATGCAGTGCCTAGCAAATAGCCAAGCATAGGCACCGTGAGTCTTTGGAAGGAAGATTCGTTTTGGGCAGAAGTGTTCAGGAACGTGCACCTCTCTATGGTGGTCGTGATGGCAATTTGAGCCAACATTCATTTAGGTAAATGAATAGATGTTTCACTGTCTGCTAGTTCTTCAGAGTGTTTTTTGGTTTTTGTTTTTTTGTTTGTTTGTTTGTTTTGTTTTTATTTTTTGACAGACAGAGTGGACAGTGAGAGAGAGAGACAGAGAGAAAGGTCTTCCTTTGCTGTTGGTTCACCCACCCTCCAATGGCCGCCACGGCGATCTGAAGGCAGGAGCCAGGTGCTTCTCCTGGTCTCCCATGGGGTGCAGGGCCCAAGCACTTGGGCCATCCTCCACTGCCCTCCCGGGCCACAGCAGAGAGCTGGCCTGGAAGAGGGGCAACCGGGACAGAATCCGGCGCCCCGACTGGGACTAGAACCCGGTGTGCCGGGGCCGCAAGGCGGAGGATTAGCCTAGTGAGCCGCGGCGCCGGCGTTCTTCAGAGTTTTACAAGAAAGCTTAACACTAATATCAAAGGAAGCAAGTTTTCATCGAGTGTTTAGAACGATGTCTCTGGGGTGGGTGTTTGACACAGTGGTTAAGACAATGCTTGGGCTGCCTGCGTCCCATACCACAGTGCCTGAGTTTGAGTCCCAGCTCCATTCACGATTCCAGCTTCCTGGGAAGCAGCAGTGATACCTCAAATACTGGTCCCTGCCATCCACATGAGTGACCTAGATTGAGTTCCGGGCTCCCAGCTGTTGTAGGCATTTGGGGGATGAGCCAGAAAATGGGGGATCTCTCTCTTTCAAATGAAATGAAAATAAATTGGTAAATATATAAGTAATTGGTTAAAAGAAAAAAAGAACTTTCAGGCTACTGAAAGTCCCAAAAGAATATTCCCTCATCTCCTTAAACCTCCAGTTTAGAGACTCCGCTACTTGGCCATGATGAAATGCCAGATGAAGAAAACACAAGATGCCTGTTTCCTACTGAGCTGTCTCAGAGCTGGAGGGGAGCGGGGTTCTGCTGGGTCATCGAACCCCCCCTTTACCTTGAGACAGCAGGTGCACTGTCCGTGGTGGACTGCAGCTGGTGAAGAGCAACCTGAGTGTCTCCTTTTGGAGGTGACGGGCAGGAGCTGATCTGTGGGTGCGTTGGCGGAGGTGCTGGCATCCATCATGTGACCTGGGGCAGGAAAGAGAGATCAGGCTGGGAATCTCAGGCCAGTGCGAGCCCACTGGCCCAAATTAGATTACAGGTAATTAAATCATACAAGCAGAAGTTGCTTTCTCACGATTTTCAGACCCCTAGATCTATCCAGCTGGACTTTGGCAGGAAAAGAACTGATGTTCCTCTTTCTTGGTGCCTCTTCCCCCTCCTTCATGGGGTATTGGACTGCACGTGTTGTTGCAGTTGTTAAAAACACTGACCCCACAAGAAGTTCAAGCTTAATAGATACAAGCATAAGTCTGTATGACACCTCCTGAGTTTCTTTTTTTACTTTTAAAGGACTTATTTATTTATTTATTTGAAAGACAGAGTTACAGAGAGGCAGAGGCAGAGAGAGAGAGAGAGGCAGGGAGAGAGAGAGAGGTCTTCCATCTGCTGGTTCACTCCTCAGATGGCCACAACAGCCGGAGCTGCGCTGATCCAAAGCCAGGAGCCAGGAGCTTCTTCTGGGTCTCTCACACAGGTACAGGGGCCCAAGCACTTGGGCCATCTTCCACTGCTTTCCCAGGCCACAGCAGAGAGCTGGATGGGAAGTGAAGCAGCCTGGAGTTCTGTATGAAAGTAGATTGGTTCCCTGTGAGGGGCCCTGGGATCTGCTCCAGGATAATGGGAGGGGTGGCCTGGGGGCTGTTGTTAGCCCAGTGCAATTTCCTGTTCTCTCAGTTCCACTCAGGCAGCCTGCTCTGACTGGCTGTAGCCACAGCCTGTAGCTGGAACTGCTAAGTGCTGCATCACTCCCTGAGCAGCAAGATGGGCCACGCTGGTCAAGTCTCCCTGGAAAAAGCAGAAATAAATCAAACACCAGCTCCTACTTAAGATCTGATGAAATTCTCCATTTCCGTTCCAAATTGAATTCCTCCCGAAGGGCCGGAGCAGCTCCGGGGAGTAATGGAGGCGCTCCTTCCTCTTCTGCCCGAAGCGTGTTTCAAATTAGGCGACGTGGCATTCTAGCACGGGTGGGTAGGTAGCATTAACGAACAGTCTTGAGACACCGTCTTCAGACCAGACGCGATATTTTTAATCTCGAGGAGCGGGTGGCAGACATACAATACGCTTGGCCTCTGCGGAGGAGTCAGCCTATACCACGCCGGTGGTCTCCGGGGAGAGAATGAGAACCTGTGGCCTGCTGGGACTGCTCCCACCCACCCTCCTCCTCCCCCTCTCACAGCCAGGGAGAATTTGCGCTGGAAGATGCAGGCGAGAGGGCTTGTGCTTTCTGAGATGGAAAACATCACCTCCCCACTCTTCTCTTATTTAGGAAGTATGATTAAACTGTGTGTTTTTTTTTTTGTTTTTTGTTTTTTGTTTTTTTTAAGGAAGGAAGAGACATTTTTTAGGATGAAGATGTCACTGAAATGATTAGTGCTCCCCTGCTCTGGGACAATAATCAGTGGACAGTTTGGCATCTGCAGAGGCCACTGACCCAGCCCCTTTCACAAGGGGAAAAAGAAAGACCCCCCCACCCCTTTCTTCCAACAGACTCTTTCAGAGCCAAGACTGATCAGCCACTGACTGGCTGCTCAGGCCCATGAATGGGATTCTGAGAAGGCAGGAATGAGTGAGGAGCCCAGGGGTGGGTGAGCCTTGTAAAGCAAGGTTAAGGTAAGAAAAATTCTGTGAGTTCATTCAGATTGGAAGGTGGGCATGAGGTAGGCGATCTGTTGGTGAAGGGGTGCTTAATACTCCTTGAAGTAAACCAGAGAACATTATTCTACTTTCCTTCACGCACTGTTGGAGAAAAGCAGTTGAGAGAGAGAGGTGTAAAATTTCTCCTTGAGAAATTCTGACATTTGGATTCAAAAAGAGAGAAGGAATTTCTCCATGAAAGAATATTCCACTGGTTCCTTTCTATTTGAATTCTGTTAACAGCCCTTGAGAAGGAGTTACCAAAACCTCACTCCATGTTTTTTAATTTTGTTTCAAGAAGGAAGCGGTTTCCTGGTAACAGGGAAATAGCCGGAGCATACCCAACAGGTAAAACCCAACCTGAGCGGGCTAAACGGGCAGCTGGGCATTGAGAGCCAAGGTGCCGGCTCCCACGTTGCTGTTCAGGGCATAAGGTCGTGTTCTACCACAACAGGCCATTTATATCAAGTCCAACGCCCTTCCGTCCCTACCGTTGGAGAGGATGTGTGTCTTCCTCAAAGTACGGTAGGAAGCACATTTATCCTGAGCTTGGAAGAAAGGGTTGAGGATGGGAAGTGGGAATCTGAGTTGAATTCTAGCCATACTGGGGTTTGTCCTGAGCCCCAACAGGAAGCATGGGGCCCCCCGGGGAGGGGGTGTCCCTAGAGCACTGAGGTGGGCCTGGGAGGGTCTGGTTGGCAGGTAGCAGCGCAAATAAAAGGGCAGGAGGATGAAATGGCCACTTTAGTGCATTCCTTCCGGCCCCCTCTCCACAGTCCTGCATTTGCATAAATCGGCCTGGGCAGACAGGTCACTCGGACAGTGGGGGCTTTCTCCCTAGCAGCCATGTCCCAGTCAGCAGCCTGCGAGCAGACAGGGCGGCCTCTAACCCGCGTGGGCTCACTCGTCTGCCTCCCTCTGGCTGGTGGGCCCTTCCTCAGCGGGCTTGTCTTTGAGCCTGTTTATAAGGCCTGAAGTTACTTCTGTTTTGTTTTAGCCCAAAGGGTGAACTGCTGCCAGCAGTATGTCTGGAATGTTATTTACTCGGTACATTTCTGTGGCTTTTCTTGTAGCACTGCACATGCCAGAGCCAGGGGTCATTTACTTGAAAATGCCAGGTTGCAGTTTGTCTCCTTCACGGGCAACTTTCTCAGTAAGGGGAAGTTGAGCTCCTGTGCCTCTCTGTTTCCTTTGCTCCCTCCTCCCTCTCACCCTCTTTCCCACCCCCTTCCCTCCTTACCTTCTACTCTGCCTCCATCCCCTCCCTCCCTCCTTTTTCCTCCTGGAGTTAGTGCTCTGACTTGCCTTGATGCCTGCTGCCTGGCACCCCTTGGTCCTAAATGCCCCGACTGCACTCGGCACTTCTGAGGCTCCTGGTGGACCCTTTGGCGAGCCCGGCACATGCCTTCTCGTTTGTGCGTCTGCCCTGTTATTATTTCACATGAAAGCTGTCTGTTTTGGCAGCCGGGACTCCCGCGATTGCAGCTGGGCTCTCTGAGCTGAACCGGGGGGATGTTGTGCAAGGGAAATCTAGGTGGGGTTTTCTCTAATGGTGGCCGTGGGGGCGGAAGAAACGTCTGCAAGCAGTCTTGGCCCGTGCGGAGCTGACGTGATGGCAAACAAAAGGAACCGGTGTGTACGGTTTCTGAAGTCGGAGGTTTCACAACCACTTTTGTTCGATTGATGGAGATGAGATCTTTTTTTTTTTTTTTTTTAAAGAGCGAGTTCTTGGTTAGGAAAGCTGTGGACAAGTCCTGGCTAAAATGCTCGGCGCTGAAGGCCCTGGCATAGGAGGTCTTGTGTTCACCTCTTCTGTCTTCAGTCCCCCTTCCTCCCATCTCATGTATGCAATTTTAATCGGTGGTGTTTGGGGTCTTAAAACAAGGTATGGAAAATGAGATTAGCTAAATCTCCCCATCTGGTGCCAGCCCTGGGGCCGTTTGCACACCTGGGTGGGTGACTCCCTGCCTTCCCTCTCTCCCTGTGGCTTTGTTATGTCGTGGGAATCTCTAAGCGCCTGCAGATACCGGTGAAAATCCCTGTGTTCCAGAGACTCAGCTTTCATCTGGGTCTCATGGAAAACGCACCTAGCCACAGCACCGGTGGTTAGCTTGTTCACTCCGTCGCCAGCCCCAGTGTGAAATGGAAAATTTTGGGTTCCGTTCTCCTCGGCTGTCCCTGTCTTTCTGCATGACTTCTCAATCTGTTTGTAAGCCGCTCGGATTTTTTGGCTGAAGGGTCTTCTTTGATCACTCTCCCGACAGCATGGGCTTCGCGTTCTCACACCTGCTCTTCTTTTACAGTCCAGATTTCAGGGTAAACGCTTCCATTGCCTTGTAATTTTTTCGGTGTAAAACTTTAGTGCAGGTTCCTTATTACAGGTAACTGCCGTTTGATGACGGAGACAACCGCTGGCAGGAACGGCGACCTGAACGGCTGCCAGGAACGTAAACGGCCACTTTATTTATGTCTGAAAACATCCCAGCCGCAAGCCGCTGGGTCATGATCTAGCATGCACACGGTAATGACAGGCTGGCCAGGCTGGGGAAGCCGCCCCTTGGGGCAGCCACGAGGACAGGCTCTAACACGACTCCTTGTGTTTTCTTCCCCATTATCTAACACGACTCCTTGTGTTTTCTTCCCCATTATCCACAGCCCACACATCATCTTCCTCTCGCAGAGCACCTTGACAGGCAGCAGCCATCTCCATCTCTGCGGGACCCGCCTCTGCCACGAAATTGCCCACGCCTGGTTTGGGCTCGCCATCGGGGCCCGCGACTGGACAGAGGAGTGGCTGAGCGAGGGCTTTGCCACTCACCTGGAAGATGTGTTCTGGGCTGAAGCACAGCAGGTAGGGTGGAGGTGACCCCAAGCATTTCACCACCCAGAGCAGGTTGTCCTTGTAGTCCTTGGCTCCTCCAGCAGATGTGCCCCAAGTGCCAGCCATGCCCGGGGCCCTGTTTTTACTGGGATAGAGAGCCGTGCACACAAGAGAGGGAAGCCCCCGCCCCTGCTGCAGTTTGCAGGCCAAAGACAGCAGAGAGAACAGACGGATGAGGCTGACCCACGTCAGATGGCGAAGGGTCCCTGCAAGAAGACGAGCTCCGTAGGGACTGGTGAGGAGGGCTCCCTGGTGAAGGGGGCATCTGAGCAGATACGTGACGAGAAGGCCGTTCTGTGGCCACACACCCAGGTGTTCCTTTGGGTTACGGTTGTGACAGTGACGCTGTGTGTTTTAAATCATGCGATTAAAATTTAAATCAGGAGTCATAATCTGAGACTGCACGGAGGAGAAAGCAGCCAATGTTGTCCATTAGGGAGCAGTGAGGCCAGAAGCCAACTGGTAGCTCCTGCCCGGCTCTCATGGTTGCCCTGCTGAAGTGAGGGCTTGGTAGAGCCTGGGTTTCTAGTTGTTGTTGTTGTTTTAAAGGCTTTTTATGCGCAGTTTGTTAACTTAAAAAGTATTACGCAAACTAAGCATACCCAAAGCCAGAGCTGGTCAGCATGCCCACGGGCTTCAAGCTCGACTTCAGAGAATTGGCCGTCCCTTCTCATGGGGAGATGGCAACAAATTGATTCCTGCTTACTTCTGGTTGCAAATATTTGGGTCACTTCTTTTCCCTGCCATCCCCACCCCTCACACAGTGGACTATTTGGTGTTTTCCACGATCCCCAAGGTTGTGTGTAGCAGCATGGTTTTGTTCGGGGTCCTTCTATCTGCATTTCACCAAGCAGGTCGAAGTCACCTGGGTAGCCCAGACTCGTCTCCCCACGTACAGGTCAACACCAGACTCCCCCAAGCTTTGAACTGCCACAGTGCTTGGTGTTCCCCCTTTCCCCCCTCTGCTTCCTTGTACAATGTGCTTTCCTTACCCTCACAACTGGACCGTGGCCTCTTCCCAAGCCTCCCACTCGTCCTCCTGCCCTCTCTGCACTGTGCCTGTGGCGCTAGCTGTGTGCTCCTCCCCATCGCCAGCCACCCCGCAGTCCTGTGGAGAGAGGCCACACGGTGGACATGGGAAAAGAGGCTGGGCTGTGGCTCTGAGCAGCCTTGGGATCCCGGCTCTGTCGTTTACCACTTTTGTAAGTAAGGGGTGTTATGCAGCCTCCTTGAGGCTCCATTTGTAGAATGGATATCAGGATGCTTGACCTTCTAGCATGCGTGGGATAAGGTGAGTGGGCTTGACACAGTCCCGACAGGACACCCCTGTTCTCTTCCTCTGCGTATTTCCTCCCCAGACTGTACACAGCAGGCACCACCATGCCACCGTCAAAATCTCTTTCCCGAGGGAGCATCTATTCTGGGACAGTCAGATTTGTGCCAAAGAGTGCTCCTCCTCCCCTTCCCCGGCCTGCACTTCTGGGCAGTGGCTCCCCGCTCTCCTTGCCTGGGGCCTGCCTCTAACCACCTTGGAAAGGCCCATGGCCGCCGCCAGAAGCCAGCTGAGCTGCCTCTCCCAGCCGCACACCTGCTGTGTCCATGCTGGGCTCCATCTGTAGGGATAAAAGGACGGGGAAGACACAGCCCTGCCGTAGCCTAATGGATGAGAAGATGAGAGAAGCATTCAGGGGAAGAAGAAAACAAGTCAGAAACGAGGAGCAAACGCCAGATGATAGTGGGGGAGGTCAGACCTGAGCCACCCCGGAAGCCGTTGTGGAGGAGGTGACTCCTGGCAGGGACCTCGATGGGAAAGCAGGGACTCAGCTTCGCCGTCGCTCCCTTCCCCTCTTCCTGGCGCAGGGGTCAGCCCCTCGCCTCACCCTTCAGGGGCCAGACGGTATGTCCTCAAGATGGGAGAGTGTGAGCACCCCTGAGGCACAGTGACCATTCCAGTACGGTATGTCCTCAAGATGGGAGAGTGTGAGCACCCCTGAGGCACAGTGGCCATTCCAGATTCCAGCGCGGAGTCTGGGAACATTCCAGAGCACGTGCACCATTCTAAGCCTTTCCTGTAAAGACGAGACTGAGCAGGTGCTGGTAGCCTGTGAGGACCTGCAGGAGAGGAGGGCTCAGAGGGGTAGGGCTGGGGGTTCCAGCTCATGGGCCGTGCCTGCTTGGCAGCGGACTCCATGAGGAGCGAGCAAGGAGGCACTGGAGTCGACCGTGGGCCTCAGCAGGCACAGCAAAGGGAGTGTGAAATCTCAGAACCAGGGAGTCGGGACCTGGCTTCCCGCTCAGGGTGCAGTCCACAGGGATCCGTGAGCCGAGTTAGCTGCCGTGTGGAATCATGCAGCTCGCCATCAAGCTGGATGAAGTCTGCACTCATCTCAGACGTCGCGTCTACTTGGGCTGCCATGATAGAATGCCACACGCTGATTTTCTCACACTCGTACAAGTTGGGGGGCTCGGATCAAGGTGCCCGCATGGCTGGTGTCTGGCGAGGCTTCTCTCCCTGGCTTGCGGCAGCCACCTTCTCACTGTGTCCTCATGTGGCCTTCTCTCTCTGTGTGTGCAGAGCTCCAGGGCCTTCTTCTCTTCCTATAAGGACAGTAGTCCTATTGGATCAGGGCCTCACCTGTACAGAGTATTTCACCTTAATCACTTTCTTCAAGTCTGTCTGTCTGTATTGTCTTCAAGTACAGTCGCCCTGCATTGTCTTCACCATATGTATTCTGGGGGACACAGTTGGGTCTGTAACAACAGGTGCACCAAGTCTGTGATTGCCTGGCCCCTGGCCCTCCCGGGATGGTAGCTTGCACCTGGCCCACCTGCCCTCTTCTCTGCCATTCTCTGATCAGATCATGCTATGCCTGCCCTGCTCGTCTGGGCTCCACACACAAGAGCCCTGATCCCTGCCTGACCTTGCTCTCCTGTAGGCACGGCTCGGGTACCGCCACCTCCTCAGGCCACCCCTGGTTTGTGAGTGGGCGTCTTGGTTCTTCCTCCACCTCTGCACTCTGATGTCCGTGTATCTTACCTGCTGCCCCCCTCCCCTCCATTCTTCATAGTAGACGTGTTGTCCACAGCATCCCCAGGGCTTGCAGAATGAATGATTGAGGATTGGCCGGAATGCCTGCAGACTCTAGACACTTCCCACCCTGGGGCGGGGGGTCCGCTGCCCTGCCTTCCATGTCCATGTGACTCAGTGGGGCAGAGTGCTGGCCTATCCCCTACCCCTACCCCAGAGTCCAGCGGTCACTTTTCTGGCTGTACACAGTCATCTGGGTGGCGTTAGCTGGCTCCCCGGCAAGTAGCCCTGCGCAAAGCTGAAGGTTGAGATAAATAGGAGGGAAATGGAGGGAAAGAGCAGGAGAGGAGGCTGGATGGAGTCAAAGCGGACTTGGGCCCTGGGGAAGCCTTTCCTCTCCTGGCCGTTGTGAGTGTGGGCAGCGGGTGCGTCCCAGCAAGGGGAACCCTCCGAAACAGGCAAGCCAGGAGTGAGCAGTTGGTTTCTCCAAGAGCCACGGGGCTCCTGAGCCTTTGCCGGGGAGCCAGGGGAAGGCAGGGGAGCAGGCCACATCGTCCGCACTGGGACAACGTGAGCTGCTCCACGGGGCAGTGCTGGCCCAGCACGAGGACAGTGAGAACTTTGTTTTGTGCACGTGCGTCTGTGTGTCTGTGGCCCCAGCAGCTGTCCCCCGACGAGGCCCAGGAGCAGCAGGAGCTGAGGGCTTGTCTGCGCTGGCATCGCCTCCAGGATGAGCTGCGGAACTCCTCCGAGGAGATGCAGGTGTTGAGGTAAAGGCAACATTAAGATCTTGTTACCTTCTTCTCATTGCCTCCCCTCCCCTCCCTTCTCTCCTCCCCTCCCCTCTCCCCTCCCCTCCCCTCTCCTCTCCTCTGCCCCTCTTCTCCTCTCTTCCTCCCCTCCCTTCTCCTCTCCTCTGCCCCTCTTCTCCTCTCTTCCTCCCCTCCCTCTCCTCTCTGGCTCCCCTCCCCTCCCCTCTCTTTTCCTTGTTGCCTCTCCTCTCCCCTCCTCTTTCTTCTCCTCCCCTCCTCTCTGACACACCCAGGCCATCCGATGAAATCTGCCATTTTCCTGTCTGAGTGAAATTGGGCTGGGTTACTCATCCCCCTGCTCTCAGGGATGGGAGGGTTGTGTTTGAAGCCTTACAGGGTGTGGGGTTCTATTTGCTTTCTGACATTTTGCTGGTGTCTCTGTTCAGGAAAAAACTAGCATGAGGCCATTTCCGGGACCAAATTCTTCGTTTGAAGTTCTAATAGTCACTTTATGTGGCGGCTGCTGACGTGGAGAAGGTTGGGGTTTGGCAGCCGGCAGACAGTAACCCTTTAAAGCTGAAGGGGGAAAAAAACGTTTAGGAAAATATTGATTGCTAAGTGTTTAGTGGTAACAGATGTGTGAGTCAATGGGGCTTTTGTTTCAGATGTAGCCCAGCAGGAAGCCAGTACCACTGTTCTCTCCCATGCGGTGCGGGAGGATCCCACTCCAGGCTCCCGAGTTTTGTTTTTTGATTGTGGCTTGTAGCACCGGTTGGATCCCTTCTTGCCATTTTGCATTTCTCACCACCTCAGCTTTGCCCCTTTCCCTCACCAGGCTGAGAGGCTGCTCACCTGCAACCTCCTGCCCATGCCCCTGTGCCGAGAGTCAAAGTCAAGTGTTTGGAATCTGCAGTCAGCCAGGTGGGATGGGCAGGTGCCCCGGGAACTCCCCCTCTCCTTACCCTACTGTAGGTGGCCCCCCTGGAGGCCAGGCTGCCTGCTTGGGCAGAAGCCCACCCTGGACCCTTCTGCTGTTGGGTTGTTTCATTTTTAATTTATTTTATTTATTTGAAAGACAGAGTTACAGAGAGAGGTAGACACAGAAAGAGAGACAGAGAGATCTTCCATTTGCTGGTTCCCTCCCAAGATGGTTGCAAGGCCGGAGCTGAGCTGATCTGAAGCCAGGAGCCAGGAGCTTCTTCCGGGTCTTCCATGGGGGTGCAGGGGTCCAAGGACTTGGGCCACCTTCCGCTGCTTTCCCAGGCCACAGCAGAGAGCTGGATCAGAAGTGGAGCAGCCAGGGCTGGAACTGGTGCCCACTGCAGGCCGAGGCTTTAACCAGTATACCACAGCACTGGCCCAGGGGTTTGTTTTTACATAAACACTCCTGCTCCTCCTGAGGGGGCCTGAAGCATACCTCACAGAAAGCATTCCAGGGGCCGGCGCTGTGGCATAGCAGGTAAAGCTGCCGCCTGCAGTGCCAGCATCCCAGGTGGGCGCAGGTTCAGGTCCTGGCTGCTCCATTTCTGGTCCAGCTCTCTGCTATGTCCTGGGAAAGCAGTGGGAGATGGCCCAAGTCCTTGGGCCCCTGCACCCACGTGGGAGACGTGGAAGAAGCCCCTGACTCCTGGCTCCTGGCTCCTGGCTCCTGGCTTCGGATTGGTGCAGCTCCAGCCATTGGTGGCCATTTGGGGAATGAGCCAGCAGAAGGAAGACCTCTCTCGCTCTCGCTCTGCCTCTGCCCCTGCTTCTCTGTAACTCCGCTTTTCAAATAAATAAATAAATCTTCAAAAAAAAAGAAAGAAAGAAAGAAAGAAAGAGCAGAAAGCACGCCATAGCTCATGAGCCCCAGGGAGGGATGCTAGCTGGTGCTTTTGTGCAGCGCTGCTCCCTGCCCATGGGGAAGTCCCCTGGCTTGCGTGTTTGCACGCTCACCATGGCTTCCCGAGCTGACTCATCCATTGTTTAGGAGACTCAGCTCCAGCGGTGGGAAGCACAGCAGGGCAAGGCCCAGAGAACTGCGGTCCCACCCCCGCCTCTGTTCCCTCAGCCGGCATTTATGGAGACGGGCAGGGCAGCTACCCCCACGCCGGCTCTCCCAGAGCCTCTACTTGGCCAGGACACTGTTGCACGTCCAACCTGGTCACAGGCAGTGAACGGCACTGTGAAGGCAACACTGTGTGACTCCTACACTAATTGGAGAGGTCTTTTTCTAATAAGGTTGGAGAATGCTTCCTTGTGAATGAGATGGGCGTCTGCATAAGCCGGCAGAGGGAAGAACCAAAGGCCCTCAGTCTGGCCTGCTTTGGTGCCAGGAAGTGGGTGTTGGATGGCTAGAAAGGGGACTGATGGCAAGGCTGTGAGAGATAGGCAGGAGCCAGGGCACAAGAACCTCCCTCCAGATTCTGTGGATGCTGCCATGAGCTTTGAGCAGGAAGGGGCAGGGTCTGTCTGGTGTTTTCACATTGCTGCTCTGCTTCTGTGCGGAATGGGTTAGCAGCTACAGACAAGAAAGCAAAGAGGCAGAGTTGGAGTGTTAAGAGTAGTTCATGGGCCTGTCTCCCTTGGGGCTGTGGGGTCCCTTTTCTTCTCAGCCAGGACTGGAGGCTGAGATTAGCCCTGTTGAGGCCATCGTCGGGACTGCACGAGCTGGGCAGCCTCATTTTCCTACCTCATACATCTGTGGGAAAAAAGAAAAAAAAAAAAAAAAAAGAGAAGTTCATTGAGCAGCAGCAGGTTAAGCTGCCAGATTCCCATATGAGCACCTGTTTCAGTCCACTGCTCCACTTCCAATCCAGTTCCCTGCTAGTGCACCTGGGAAAACAGCAGAGGATGGCCCAAGTGCTTCAGCCCCTGCCAACCATATGGGAGAAAAAGATGGAGTTCTGGGCTCATGACTTCAGCCTGGGAAGTACTGGCCATTGTGGCCATTTGGGGAGTGATCCAGTGAATGGAAGCTACGCCCCCCCTCCTTTTCTCCCTCTCTCTTTAATTCTGCCTTTCAAATAAATGAAATAGATCAGAGCTGGGCCGATCTGAAGCCAAGAGCCAGGAGCTTCCGGGTCTCCCACATGGGTTCAGGGGCCCAAGCATTGGGGCCATCTTCCACTGCTTCCCAGGCTATGGCAAAGAGCTGGATCAGAGGTGGAGCAGGTGCGAGGAACCGGTACCCATATGGGATACCAGTACTGCAGGCAGCAGCTTTACCTGCCACACCACAGCACCAGCCCCATCCCACTTTTAATTTTTACAAAGACCTAATTTCAGTTTACTTAATGATCGTAAAGTTAGCCCTACACTAAGTAAAAGAATTCAACTAATATTATAAAGAATAAAATACTGTTCCTCAACAGAAGAGACAAGGGCTGTAAACAATTGTGGAGTCCCAAAATGTCCTTTTCATTCCAGTACATTACATTTTTGGTACTCTGTTACCTCGGATCATGGAAAAATGATATCTGTCTTTTTGGAATTGGCTTATTTCACTACATATAATGGTTTCCATTTGTGTCCATCTTGTTGCAAAAGAAAGGATTTCTTTTTTTTTATAGCTGAGTAGTACTCCATAGTGTACATAGACCATAATTCTTTTCTCCATCAATTGATGGACATCTGGGTTGATTTCATATCTTAGCTCTTGTGAATTGTGCTGCAGTGAACATGGGGGTACAGATCACTCTTTCAGATGCTGATTTATTTTGGTTTGGCTAAATTTCCAGAAGTAGGAGGTCTACATTCAAATTTCTGAGGAATTTCCATACTGTCTTCCACAGAGGCTATGTTTACATTCCCACAAACAGTGGATTAGGGTATCTTTTCCCCTACATCCTTGCTAGCATTTGTTGTTTGTTGATTTCTGTATGAGAGCCATTCTAACTGGGGTGAGGTGAAACCTCACTGCGGTTTCGATTTGCATTTCCCTGACGGCTAGTGACCCTGAGCATTTTTCATGTGTCTGTTGGTCATTTAAATGTCGTCTCTTGGAAAATGTCTGTTCAAGTCCTTTGCCCATTTCTTAACTGGATTGTTTGCTTTGTTGTTGTTGAATTTCTTGAATTCTTTATGGATTCTGGATATTAATCCTTTATGAGTTTCACAGTTTGCAAATATTTTCTCCCATTCTGTCAGTTGTCTCTTCACTTGCTGAGTGTTTCTTTTGCAGTGCAGAAGCTTCTCAGCTTGTTGTAATCCCATTTGTCAATTTTGACTTTCATTACCTGTGCTTCTGGGGTCTTTTTTTTTTTTTTTTTTTTTGAGAGGCAGAGTTAGACAGTGAGAGAGACAGAGAGAAAGGTCTTCCTTTCCATTGGTTCATCCCCCAAATGGCCACCACGACTGGCACACTGTGCCAATCTGAAGCCAGGAGCCAGGTGCTTCTCCTGGTCTTCCATGCGGGTGCAGGGGCCCAAGCACTTGGGCCATCCTCCACTGCCCTCCTGGGCTACAGCAGAGAGCTGGTCTGGAAGAGGGGCAACCGGGACAGAAATGGTGCCCCAATCGGGAGTAGAACCCAGGGTGCCGGCGCCACAGGTGGAGGATTAGCCAGGGTGCCGGCCACTTCTGGGGTCTTTTCCAAGAAGTCTTTGCCTATACCAATGTCTTGCAGTTTCCCCCAATGTAGTCTAGTAATTTGATGATATTGGGTCATCAGTATAAGTCTTTGATCTGCTTTGGGTGAATGTTTAAGATGTAAGATAGAAGTCTAGTTTCGTGCTTCTGCATGTGGAGATCCAGTTACCTTACCCTTTGTACAAAAACCCACTTAAAATGGATCAAATGAGCTAAAATCAATTCCTGTTTGTTTACTTTCTTATTTAAAAGACAGTTACAGTGCTGTGTTATAGTAGGCTAAGCCTCCGCTGGAGTGCCAGCATCCCAAATGGGCTGTGGTTTGTGTTCTGGCTTCCCTCTCTCTCTGTCTGTAATTGTACCTCTCAAACCTTAAAAAAATAAAAAGACAGAGATGCTTGGTCCAAGGATACTTTTCTATCTTAACTTGTATGCTCTCCTAGAGTTCA